GAAATCCCGAATCAATTATGGGATGATTTGCAATATTAGTATAATTGGAAAATTAGGGGAATATCTTTACTTTCCTAGATTTGCATATTATTTTCCTTTTTCCCTTCATTGTATTGTACTATATATAGTGACATAGATTTGTAAGGTTAAATTATGTGAATAAATTATTCCTTCCATTATTTCTTCAGTAAATAACAAATAGATACTCTAGTTAAAAGATTTTAATAAGAAAAATTAATAACAAGTATAAAACTAAATTTATACTATATAAATGAATTTTAAAGAATTTAATCAAAACGTGCGGTGACGTTTCATGCTAGTACTTTTTGAAATATAGCGTGCCGACGTATTCGACACGTATCGTGTCGGACACATGTGTCCAGGGTCAGTGCATCAATGACTGGAATTGACACTAATTTAAGGATAAATTAAGGGAAAACGACTTCATTGGTTTGTACATGTTTTGTTTGGACCTAAAGAAGCTTTCGTTCGCAAGAGTTGTTCAATCCCAATAGAAGCTAGAATAGGTAGAGACGCCAAAATTAACATATGCTGTTGTGGTTGCAAAATATTTGATTGTTTTGGATCTTTTAGTAGACGTAGTGATGGATCGAATGAAGTATTCGAAAAGGATTCTTGCAGTTAATCCCAAACTTGTTGAGTAAAAGGTACCCCAAATCTTCTCTTTATTACATTTGAAGTGACGATGAATAGTCACAATAGAATTAGGAAATAATACATTACATTGTAACTCGGGCTACTAATGTTGTACTATTTCTTTCATAAATGATCAATATAAAATGTACGTCTGAATTAACTCTCTATATTTTGGAAAAATAATCAAACTATATATTCGGGATGTCTACAGATACTTGGCATAGGTGCTAAGAAATGGAAGACCACGGTGGATCATGCTCGTCAATGTATCATTGACGATATAAGGATATGCTTATACAACTCTTCCGCTGAATATAAAACTGGTGTGGTTTTTGATACCGCGGGACAATTTAAAGGGGTACTCCGTAACAACCAATTTGTTCCCATTGAAAGCGTATACGAGGCTGAGAAGGTCTGCCTTTTTCTCAATTATTTTCTTGCTCTTTCTTTGTTGGATAACAAATGTTTTCTCATAACAGACTAAACCCGAATTTCTAATGATTTAGTGTCAATTTTCATAGGCTGAGGCACAGAAGTTACTAGCATCTGCTTTTGAAAATCAGGGGGATATAAGGTATTTTGGTGATGAGACTTCTTTTCTGCATCAGTTTCCCTGCATATCCAATGACAAAAATGCCACCAACTCCTCTGGGCTGGACGGTTCTGATGGCTGGAATAGCAGCATTGTTGAAAATATTGATCGAAATGATCCTTCACAGCCAGTTACCTCGTCTCAGGGAATCAGCTCATCTATCAATCATTCAAATAGTTCCTGTGGTTTTGGCTCACCCAGCTCCAGAAATGTTGAATATTCACTTGAACCGCCTTTAGGGGCTTCATTCAGGGCTCCAAGTTTCTCAATGTCTGACTTGGACTTTCTTGACTGGGACTCTCCGTTGGAAAGTTTTCGTGGCAATGAAGCTCTATTTTCTCCTACTTTCAGCAATAATGACAACGTACCCGAGATCCCTAGGGTTGAATCATATTCTGATCACCAAAGTAATGCTGGACGTAAACGCTTTGTTGGTGCTGTTATAACTCTACAATGTTTGTTTCGTATAAGAAAAAGGGTTGCGTCTGTAGGAGATAGTCAGGTTCACAAAAGGCAGAGGCAGAGTTGACAGGCAGCACAATACAGAATTGTTTCAATTGAAGGTTCTTTTAGAAGGTTAAATATATTGGCGCTCACTAAACTTTCAGTAAAATTACAGGATGGCCACTAAACTTCATTTCATTTCTAGTTTGCCACTAAATTAAATTTTGTTTCAAGTCAGCCACTCTGTCAATATCCGTCAATCTGACTACCAGAAAATGTAACCTGGCAGTTTACTTACTTGCCAACTAGCCTTCCACATCAGCTTTCTGATAGTCAAACTAAAGGGCAATGGATCAAATTACCAAATGTTTAAGTTCACGACCAACTTGAGAAAAAGTTTAAGAACAGTGGCTAGTTTGGAAAACAATTTAAGTTCAGTGACTAACATGTAGTTTTTCCAAGTTTTGTGACTGCCAGTGTTTTTAACCCTTCTTTTAGATGTTGCAACATGTGAAATTGAAGAAAGCAACAAACTTTGGATTTGCAGTAAATACATGTACACATATCTCAGCAGCCCGTTCGTTTCTAAGTTCTCCAAGTTTTTTTGTGTTCTGATACAGTTTAAGGCAATTTTCGAAATAGTCAGTATGGAAGATTGTACAGGATGGAAATGTTATGGGGAATACCTACGAAAGTAATTTCATGGATGTTTGATATACAGTACTGAACATGACTAGAAAGTATAATGAACACGAAGTTAGCATTCATAAAGTGATTCCGAAGCTGATGGACATGGTGATCAGTCTATCTTGGAACGAGGTATGATTCTGTGGTACATGCTTTCAGTTTTTACTGTGATTAAGATGGAATTAGTAGGATTTCTTGTATTCATTTCTTTGTGCAGTAATAGTCTGTTTGGCCGACTCCAAATCTATTACGAAGAAGCGTATGTTGTTGTTGTACAGTAACTAGTTCACTCATTAAATCTGGTAAGGAACCAGAATGTTCCAAAACTATTAGCTTATTTCATGCTATTTCTTGTTGACAAAGTTGTAATAGTTTGTGTTTTATATTTTGTGGCATACATTTGCACACTGGGAATGCATTTTGATTATACATTTTCATCCATACTGAACTGAAAATACACTTCTGTTAGCATGGTTGGCTAAGATCTGAAAAATGTGAAAGCTACTTTTAGTAATTTATTATTTGAAAGTGATTTGTACCTTACTCCTCAAAACAAGTAACTTATTTTTCACTTTAACTTTATTTCCAAAATCTCTTACAAGCAAGCATCACTAGTGCAAAAATCTTTATAGACCACTAAATGAAGCTAGTGGCATCAAATAGCTTTTCTTTTTACAATTAAATATATGAAGAATATATATATACCCGATAAACCGATACATACATTTGATAATCAAGCAACATTATCTATGCCCTTGACTCTGTTATTCTGAATGATGTCTACATTTTACAAGCCTTGCTGTCGTCACATATTTCTCCCTATGAAGTAAGAAAATAACACATTAGAGGGAAGTCAAAGAGAATTGAGTCCAAAGATGCAGTACAATGGAAAACGAGAAAAAGAACTCTATTATCCTTTATCACGAAGGAAATTTGCTCATCTTAAACGAGCAAATGGGTATGAGAATAATTCACTTTTTATTACGTATGAAGAACAAAGAAACAAGATTATAAAGGCAAGTGAATTCAGACCTTTTTCCTCCGTGCCACCAAAACTTCTTCTAGAGGTGGTCGACCTGTAAGAAGAAGGCCGTAAGATGAAAACTAATACTGGAATGTGAAGCCAGTTAACTATTTATAGATGGTAGGGACATTCTCATGCATTGGGAGATAA